GCACGCCCTCGGCCAGCCCGCCGCTGGCCGGTCCCCTCCCCTGCTGGCCACCCATCGGCAGAGAGGAAAATCTGAGTGCGGGCGCGTTACCCACCCTCGGGGAGAAGCGGCGGCTTCTAATGTGACCTAATGAGCGCCGCGAACCGAGCAAATATTATTACATTGAATACGGATGAAATGAGGAAAACAGGCACGCCTTGGAGCTGTGTACGTGGGAACCCCGGTTCTCCCCTGGCTCCCTCCGATCTGCCACCGGATTTGAGAGGTGAACCCGCAAGCCGGCCCGGGGCGCGCGGTCAGGTGCGCACTTGCGTGTGCACACACACACACACACACACACTTCACAACTTGGGTCCCTGTCACACAAATACAGACACATCGCCCACCAGGCCACCTTCTTTCAATAGTTTTTCTCTCCCAGAGAGGAAAAAAAACAACAACAACAAACCAATCCTCTCGGATCAGACGTGAGTCCACCGAGATCTCCCTGGAACGGCGCTCTGGTTCGGCACACACCCCGGGAAGAAGTTGCCCCGGGCGCCCCGGGGCGTGCAGCTTTCGCCTGGGCGGGGTGCGGGGCAGGCGACCCACTTAATTAGCATGGAAATCCACAGCCCCTCCGAGGGCCAACTGTTTCTCCCTCCCGCCCCCACCCCTAGGGATAGGGAGTGAATTTGGTGAAAAACAAGCATGAAACAATTAAGGTAGGGTCTTTCCATAAAAAAAGGACTGGCCATTCTAATTCCCTTTAAAGCCTGGAGGGACAAGGCGCTAGGGAGAGCGAGAATTAGCTGGGAGTTGGGGTGGTGTGTGTGTGGGGGGGGAGAGGCACGTGATGTCTGGGTGTGCTAGACGTGTCCCAGACGACCAGGCAGGCTCCTTGGTTCCCTCTCCACTTCTATGGAGTCCCCCTTCCCCCCCCCCCGTCCCCCAGGAAATGCAGCGAAGGAGTTTGGTTGTCCTAGCGTCTTCGCCCCCCCGGGTGACTAGGCCTAGGAGGTTCCAAGATGAGGAGGTACGTCTGCCCGTGAAAAAGAGGTGAGGGAAGGCGGGGAGGATGCAGATCCCGGCCCGAGGGTGCCCCCTTTCGAGCCGAGCTGCTTCCTTCCTGCCCACGACCCCAGAAAGAGGTTCCCGCGCCTTGGACGAGCGCGTTCTCCCAGGCAAAGGCGTTGCGGCTGAATGCTTTGTTCTTGCTCCCAAGTGGGTGCGTTGGGACTACAAGTGGCCTCCACGACCCTGGTCCAGACCCCTTCCCGGGTCAGGGGCAGGCAGTCCCGCGGGTGTGAGCCTAGGATCGGAGCATTCTGGAGGCCCTGGAGGCTCACAGAGCAGATCGGGTCCCCCCCCTCCCCATCCCGCCCCCCACCCGCCGCGCTATTCTGGGATTCCAGCCGGAGACGGGGCGGGGAGCTTTCAATTTGTTCCAGTGATGGCTCTAACTTAATAAGGCGATTGATTAGCGCTCAAAGTGCCGTTTTAATTAGTCGCTTGTTAATTAACATCGTAAATGAATCCCCCCCACCCCACCCCTCTGATTGGCATCTTTGCTCAGCGCTCCAGGGCTTGCTTTTCTCCTGCGCTGCTGCCGCCCGGGTCCCTCTCCACCCTCAAGAGTTGATAGAAGAATCTATCTTCTGCCTTCGTGAGGTTACAGAGATCATTATTTATTTTTATCCCCCCCCCCCCATGATGCAGCCGTGTCACAGGGAGACTTGTAAATTTCTCCAGGAACTGACCCTTCGCAGGACAATGGTGCAATTTGGAGTGGCCTCTACTTTCCTCACAGTTTCTTCTCACCCCTGGTTTGAAAGTGATCTTTCTTCCTAGGCCTGCTAAGATCACCTAAATTCCCTCTCAGAATCTGGGTTTCTAGAAAGAAAAGAAAAAGTAGGAGGAGGGAAAGAGAAGATACAATTCTGGTAGGGGTGGGAGTAGATCATATCCTAGAGGGAAAGCGGACACGGTGTCTTGCTGCTCACGTCTGTGAATAGCGCATCACACTCCTTTTCTAGCCAGTGTGGTCCAAGAACACACTCAGAAGACATCCCTACAACCAAGACTTACCTGTAGATGATAACCCAGCCCTATAGGTAAGAGGTTATGAGTTTGGGCACTTTGTGGAAATTTGGCATCATTATCTCCCTTAGTTACCATACATTCCATTACTGGCAAGGCATCTCCTTCTTTTGTCACCAACACACCCTTCATTTCCTCCAGGAAGCCTTTCTGTCACTCCAACAGCCTGCCCCGAAGCAAGGTTTATCTATTCACTCCAATGACCTCCCACTGTAGCAGATTTCAGTTTGGCTGGATGATCGTGATGACCATTTCCAAAGCGCTCAAACTCCAGTCTACTCTCTGAGGCTAGTGCCCCTTTCCTAAGCACCTGGCATAGAATACCTATGCAGCCATGTCTATTGACTGAGTAAATGGACAATGCAAATAAAGAAAGTTAGAAAGTAAAACTAAAGGCTAATGAGTGTCCCTATTGCTAGAAATAATTGGAACATGGTGATCAGAAAGGTCATGTGCCTTGCCCAAGGAAATAGCAAATAGGACGAAAACTCTCCTCAAGCATTCCTTTCTTCCTCCGCAATGCTTGCCTTCCTGCCTACAGTGGTCTGTACACCACACATTAAGAGCCATCTTCTGTAAGTCCCTTCTAAACTGCTCATTTTTACAATTTTGGAGAAGCAATAACCCTTGCAAATTGTATTATAACACCAGAACAATCTTTCAGTATGTTGGTCCCTCCAAACGTGGTAATTACACAGATTCTCATTTTAATTTCTTTCTTTCTTTTTGTCCCAGTCCTAGGTTTTGAACTCTTGGTCTGGGTGCTGTCCCTGAGCGCTTTTTTTTTTTTCCTCTCTTAAGGCTAGCACTCTGCCATTTGAGCTACAGCTCCACTTCAGGCATTCTGCCGGTTAATGGAAAAATCTCATGGACTTTCCTTCTTCGACTGGCTTTGAGATTCTCAGATCTCAGCCTCTTGAGTAGCTAGGATTGCATGCATGAGCCACCAACACCTGGCATTGTGTGGTTTCTTTCCCCTTATGTTCTTGCATTTTACCATTCTCTCTCTGCTTCCAATTTCCGCTCTCTGGTTTCAATCTACTTAAGGAAGACACTCTATTTCTGTGTGTTTATGGTTTTTCTCTATAGTACAGTATTTGCCTATTTACATATACATGTATGTGTATAAATGTATGCAATTTATGTATATGCTGGAGAGTACATATGTACTGGATAAACATCGATAGAATAAAAAGAAAGAAAAATGAAGTCTTAAAACGGTGAGAAGTCAGACAATCTTCAGGGAGTCAGGCTTAGAGCACGGAGAGCTTATCTTGCATCTTATAGAAACAATAGCCAGTTCCTTCGGCTTGGAATTCTTGGCGCCGCCTAGTGGAGGGAAGGGCCTTTGCACCTCAGTTACACCAGTTGACACAGTTGTCATCTTGAAGGCTCCTTAGAAGCGGTCAAATTAAATCTGATGGAAGCACCAGCTTCAAGTTCTTCAGAATTTGTGTGAGGGCGAAATTCTCCAAAGTTAAGAAGCTTTTTTTTTTAAAAAAAAGTCTGACCATCCAGTTTAAAAGAATGCCAAGTCTAGGTAGTGAAGTGGGAGATGTACTAAGATACAAAACTTATTAAAATGTGTGTTTGAATCAGTTACTGTGGTAGGAAAAAAAGGTTCTTTGTGGTGTTGATTGGTACTAAATATATCCTTCAGGAAAAAGAATTAGAAAATAACGACTTTCTACAAAACAGTTCCAAAGTCTTTGAAAAAAAAAAATCATCCCTCATTTAAAAAAAAGGAAAAAAAAAAAAAAGAAAGAAAATGAGAACTTGGAAGTGAGCAATCATTTTAAAATTCAGACCAACAACACTATTTTCTTGTATCTAAAACCCAATGGAGGGAAATTCAGAAAGTGAGATTAAATTTAGTAAATGCATAGTCGTTCACTTGGAAATGTGATTTCTTTTTGAATTCTGATTTTTAAACTAATGAACACTAAATTATGCTTTTCTTACTACGAAAGGGACGACTTTTTGACACACAATTTATATATACTTTCTGGGGAAATAATAGCAAAAGAGCAGTGTGTCTGGAAGGGGAGAAAAAAATAAGTAAAAGGACGGAGAAGTTTAAGCCCTAGTCCTGGGGATTTTGTTCTTGGTGGTTTGTGATCTGGTGTTTGAGTACCTCTTTAGATTCCTCGGGTCATTTCCTGTCTGGGAAGGACCCACGCATAGGACTTGGTAAAGGTCAAGGCTGTAGTTTTCCTTCGCTCCTAAAGCTAGTATAGAAGAAATCTCCTGCAAGAATGGATATTTTTCCCCCTTAAAGAAAATAGAATCTGAACGATTTCCAAGGCGAGGCCCACCGAGTTCCGGTCTGGTTTGGGGTTTTCCTACCCCGCGCATCCCCCCTCCCCCCCCCCCCCCCCCCCCGTCCCCCGACACTTGGACCTTCCCTTTCCCTTCCAGATTTCGTAGGTCGCATTTCCAGCGTCGTGAATCATTCCCGGCCAAGCTCCGGGTCGAACCTCCCAGCACAAGCTGTGCGATCCGCCTTTTTAAAAAAAATTTTTTTTTCTTAGCTCTGGAGTCATTTTCGGCGTCGGAACAAAACAAAAACAGGCTTAAATGAATTATTTATCAAGGTCGAGAATAATTGATTTGCGCAGGGCCGTCAGATCTGGGAGTTTTACATTTGTCTTCTCCCTCTTTTCCACTTCCTACCCTGAATCCTGCGGCGAGGGGGAGAGCGAGGCGGGGGTCCACCCTCCCCCCAGGCGAGGGGGAAAAACACCCCCCACCCCACCCCCAAACCAAAATAACACCCACAGCTCCTTTGGGAAGTTGGCGGGTGATGTCAGCGTGGGCAGAACCCCAATCGATCACCGAAGAAGGGGCGGGGGGGGGGGGGGAGAGGAGCGATCGCTCACAGCCCGAGCGCCCTTCCCGTGGTGGTCAATTCGGGTGCCAAGATGTCCCGCGTGGGCTCTGGGAGGGGGAGGAACCTGGCGCCCCGGGCACCCCGGACCCCGGCGCGTGGCCGCAGCGCACGCGGGACGCAGGGCCGAGGCCAGGCCGGCGGAAAAGGCTTCTGCGTGGCCAGCACGCAGGTCCGGAGCGGCGGGAGGCCAACGCCACCCACCACTCCCCCAATCCGGCCTCCATCCCAGGCTGGCCCGCCTCAACAGGCCAGGGCCCATCCGCACGTTCCCTGGGCCTCTAACGGGCCCAGCGTCGATCGGCCCCCCGCGGGGAGCCGCAGCCCGCGTGGCATGCTTCCGCTCACCCACGCGGCGTGGGTCCCACCGCCAAACTCCCCATCGCCTTCTGCAAAGAAAAAGCGCAAGTGGATCGGAGGGTGGAAATGCTTTCCTCGTCCGTCCCATCTCTCCCCGCTGTTCTTAGCCTACTACTAGGGGGCAGGGAAGGAGACAGGGAGAACCTCCAAGATGAGAGAAAGAAACTGCTTAACAGCCCCTCAAAATAGCGCGGGCATTTTTGGGGAGGGGGGTCAAGTCTCTCCATTTCCTCTCCCCCCCCAAAGAAATCGAAAGGGGGCCGCGTCTCCCATCGACCCCTTCCAGACTTGGGGCTCACACCGCAGTTCCCAACCAAAAGCAAGATCGAGCCCCGGAGGCCACTTCCCACACCTCCCCCATAAGGGAGAAGAAGAAAAGCGGTACCCTCCTCCCCTCAAAAAAAAAAAAAAGAGACCTACAGAAACGCATCTAAACCTCGGCTTCTCCCGCCCAGCCCTGGGAGGGAGGAAGGGCCATCTTCTCCTCCTGGTTCTCGGCACTGGCAGCGACGCCAAGCAAGAAGATCCATAGGGTTCTTCAAAAAATGGTAATTTGGAGTAAAATGTAACTCCAAGAACTTTGAATCATTCATTAGCACCTTATAATTACTCCGCTAATTAGGTTGACACGGCACTTCATCAGGAGTAATACGCCGCCTTGTCACTGGCACTTTCCATTACTCTGACATTCAACAAGAGACAGGTTGGAGACGTCCTACAGGAAAAGAATGCGAGCCGCTGCCCCGCGCCCGCGCGTCACCGGCCTCGCCCCGGGTCCCAAATGGATCCACGGCGACCGTTCTCCTGTCCCGACAAGTGGGGGGACCCGGCGAAAGGGGGAGGGGACCGGCCAGCGTGTGGGGTGTGTGGGGGACACACAGACTCGCCCCCGGGGTTCCGAAGCCCGCCGTGCACCCGGCCATCGGAGGAGGACGGGGCCCCGTTGGCCCGCGTGGGGAGAAGATGTTTAGCCAGGCGTCTTCGGTTGGAGGCCCGGGTTTGGGGGTGGGGAAAGCGGTAGGGAGCGGTCCACGCCGAGCTGTGGACGCGGATCTGGGAGCTGCTGGGGCCTAGCCCGGGACGCACAGGCTGCCGGAGCCGGGGTGGGGGGGGGGGGGAAGATCGGAACGCAGAGCCTGCCCGCGCCAGGCCCCGGGCTGCGGGGGTCCACCCAGGCCCCTTCCTCGGCCCTCAGTGTCTCGGGGCGGTCTGTGCGCGCGCGTGTAGAGGGGACGCTGCGGGGAGTCTGCCCGGCCCTCTTTGCTCCTCGCGCCCGGTCCACCCGACTTCAGGAAAAGGGCAAACGGTGGCCCCGGCCTCGCCTTGGAGCCCCCCCCTCCCCGCGCGGGTCTGCCTTTGCCAGCGTCCCCTGCCTTGCCTCCCCCTCCCTTCTCCCTGTGCCCCTCACTCGTGATCGTGGGCTCCGCCAGGACCACCGGACTAAGGGGCTCAGCAGCTCGGGGGCTGCCGGCCCAGGCTGTGCGGGTTTCTCAAAAGAGCAGCGGGGACCGAGCCGCGCCTGCCGACGGGCTGGCGAGCCGGGCGCCCATTGGCTCCTGGGCACGTCGGCGTCGCCGGCTAGCGCGGGGGCGACCAATGGGGGCGCGCGGTGCCCGGCGCGCGGCCCGGGCGGCGGGGGGCGCGGCGGCCGCGGCCGTGACGTCACGGGAGGGGGGCCGGCGCCGCCCGCCAGCGGCCGGGATTACAAGGGAATGCGCCCGGCAGCGGCGGGAGTCGCCGGGCGCCGCGTCTCCGCCGTCTGCTCCGCCGGTGCCAGCGTCTTCCCTTCCTTCTCCTTCCTCCTTCCTCTTCCTCCTCCTCCTGTTCTTCCTCCTCCTCCTTCTCTTCGGGTCGCCCCCGGCTACCGCGGAGGGGTCCGCGCGCCACAACTTTCCCAGAAAGTTCAGAAAGTCGGGGCCGAGGCGTCGGTGGTCGCGAGCCGCGGCCACTTTCCGAGGGCGCGCGCGCGCGCGCGGCCACTAGGCTCGGCTCTCGCCGCGGCCCGTGCCAGGCTGCGGGCGGACCCCGGCGGCCGGTGCCAGGCTGCGGGCGGACCCCGGAGGCGGCGGCGGTGGCGGCGGCGGCAGGGTCGCTCCCTGCCGTGGGCACCTGCGCCCGGGGACCCCCGCGCCGCCACCGCCGCCCCCACGTGCGCGGTGGCCCGGACGCGGAGCGCACGGCCTGGCTACCCTCTATTTGTTTATTTGGGGGTGACTTTCTCCTCCGATCGTTCTTTCTCTCGATCCCCTCACGTTTTGCATAAGGGGGAGAAAAAGGGAAAAAAAATCAAAAGTTGTGTCCAAAGTGTCCACCGATTGCCACCTCCCGATCACCTCGCCTCCGTTCCCGCCCCGCTTTTTTTTTTCCTCCTCTTTTTTTTCCCCCCGAAAGCAGCGTCAACCTGGTGGTCCTGCTTGATTTTGTGTTCCGATCATCGATCGCTTCCTTTCGCTTCCTCGGGGCGGCTGCCGACCGGCGCGAGGCGTTGGACCTCATGTCGAAGTGACAACAATGGAAGGGACCAGCGGGTCGAGTTTTGGAATAGACACGATCTTGTCCAGTGCCAGTTCGGGCAGCCCGGGCGTGATGAACGGAGATTTCCGCCCGCTCGGAGAGGCCAGGACCGCCACGGATTTTAGGAGTCAGGCCACCCCGTCCCCGTGCTCGGAGATCGACACCGTGGGGACGGCGCCTTCCTCGCCCATCTCAGTCACCCTGGAGCCCCCGGAGTCGCATATGGTCCCAGACGGGCCCCAGCACCACCACCACCACCATCATCTCCCGCACAGCCAGCCGCCGCCGCCGCCCGCAGCCTCGGCCCCGACGCAAAGTTTGCAGCCTTCGCCTCAACACCAGCCGCCGCCACCGCCACCGCCGCCGCCACCGCCGGCTGGGCAGCAGCTGGGCTCGGCCCCCGCGGCCCCCAGGACTTCCACCTCTTCTTTTTTAATCAAGGACATCTTGGGAGACAGCAAACCCCTGGCCGCTTGCGCGCCCTACAGCACCAGCGTGCCCTCCCCGCACCACACGCCGAAGCCCGAGAACCACGCGGCGCACGACAGCTTCAGGCCCAAGCTGGAGCAAGACGACGGCAAAACCAAGCTGGACAAGCGGGAGGAAACCCAGGGCGACCTCAAATGCCACGGTGAGTCGCGCCCCCCCTCCGGCCCGCCCGCCGCCCGCCCGGCGTCCCCTTCCTCCCCCTCCGCTGTCGGCTCCCTTCTCCAGGGCGCTCCGTCTCCGGAGAAGGGGGATTTATTTATCCCGGGATCTTCCCACCCGATCCTCCGCCGTCGCCCAGTGTGCAAATCCGGCCGCCGAGGCCTGGGCGCCGCAGCCCAAGTTCTGTTTATTGTTGGCGCCTCCACGCCAGCCGGCCCCTTTCTTTGTTTTACATAATTTCCATGTCTTGGGAGGCTGAAGGTGGCAGCTAGGAGATCTGATGGGAAATACTTTTTATTTGGGGCCGGGGAAGAGGGGGATGTGGGGGAGAAGAAAACTGAATTGGTTGTTTTTTATTTTTTTCCCCTCAGGATGGGAAATGGAAGGGGAGGTGGGAAAAAGAATCTGCTTAGCGCCCCGGTGCCTGGGGGTGTGAACAAACCGATCGTTATTTTATGCAGATGAAGCCCCCCTCCGTAGTTTTCAAACACCGGCTCAGGAATTGTTCCGTTTAATGAAGGGAAAAAAATGTCCCCCCCCCCCAAGCTGATTAAGCAACTTTCCAAAAAAAAAATAATGATTAGGATGGAGAATTAAGTTTTTAAAAAATATGATCAGTTTTCTTTTTTTTAAAAAGCACTCTTTTTGCCAAAAGAGCCCCCAATAAAATGTCAGTATCTTGGTAAATTTTTGCCTTCTTAAAAATTAGGAGGGGGTAGCATTTATAGAAATAAAAATGTAAGAGGCAGGATTTATCTATTTTTATAAGGTACCACAGAAGTAATCTTCTACACTTCCCTTTTCATTTTCTTCTCAGGTAATTCCATAAAGGTTCTGGCCTTTGCTTCGTAAAAGAGTTTTTTTATGGCAGGGGAGTGTTTTTTTTTTTTAATACTTCACTGATAAGTTATTTACTATTACTATTATTATTATTGTTGTTATTACTTTGTTCTTTGGTAAAGATACATAGTATCTAGAAGGTAGGATATTGGCTCCTTGTTTTACTATTGCAACATTAGCATAATAGTGCCCAAAACAGATGTACGGTCTAGGCTGGCGATTTTTCCGTGCACCAACCTCCCCAGTGGGTCAATTAGAGAGATTATTGTTCTTCCTGCAGGGAAGATCAAGGAGTGCTGCACAAACGGGTACAAACAGAGAGGGATTGACATATCGATTTCCAGGCATTTCAGTAAAAAACCAAAGTTGACAAATAGAATCCGGAAATCTGCGCGCTGTCACCTGGTCGGGCTGATTTTGAGCTCGCCTGCCACAGCCTTTACCTGGTAGTATATGGTCTCTGGGAAGCCTTCAAAGACCCAGTGTAGGCGACTGCAGAAAGCTTGATTCCAACATTGCCCAAGTGTCTCTGAGAAACCAATGTCTAACTTGTAAGAAGATGGTAAGGGGGAAGTCAAATGAGAAAAATGTCCCCGCCTGAAAAAAAAAATTAGCAGGACTTTTGAAAAGGAGCAAATAAAAAAATCTGTTCTTCGTGAAAATACTGAAAAGACAATGCCTCATCCCAAACCAGGACAAAGAGCCTTTTATTGAAATTCTTTTTTTTTTTTTTTTTTAACTTTCAACTTCCAACCATCAGAAGATCACACAGCCTTTTTGAATCCTTTTTGGAGCACAGTACAAGGTCTCAACTCCCCAACCAGAAAACAATCTTTTTCCTCCATGAGGTCCAAGGATGTGTGTGTGAGCAGGGGACACACTGCAGTGTCCCCATGGTTAGTGGGTGGCCTGGGAAGGTAGAAATGTGTGTCTGGAGGACACCCTACCTGTTTCCATGTCAAGTTATACAACTTGGTTTCTTTCCTAGGAACAAAGGAGGAAGGAGACCGAGAGATCAGTAGCAGCCGAGAGAGTCCGCCGGTGAGAGCCAAGAAGCCCCGAAAAGCCAGGACAGCCTTCTCCGATCACCAGCTCAATCAGTTGGAGCGTAGCTTTGAACGACAGAAGTACCTGAGCGTCCAGGACCGCATGGACTTAGCAGCTGCACTCAATCTCACTGACACCCAAGTGAAGACCTGGTACCAGAACCGCAGGTAAGGAAGGCTGTGTGTGGGGAGCAGAGGCATCTGCTATTTGGGTCATGACTACCAGCAATCTTCTTCTCCCTTGACCCCTAAAGACTCTAGGGACCGAAGAGTGCCACAGTGGACACTTGGGGGGTGCTTTCCAGGCGAGGGCTGGGGTTAACCACACCCCAAGGTGAGAAGGACAGAGGGTTTTAACAGGTGCTACTTTCCCTCTGAAACCTGAGCTGTTGGAATTCCTCCCCTGCTCTCCCCCACCCCCCATTTTGTCCCCAAATCAATCAAGTCACATCTTCTCAAATTGAGACATCTGTGCAGCTGACACTCAGGCCCAGCGTGTGTGTGTGTGTGTGGGGGGGGGTACTCTGGACTTGCCCCAGCCGGTTCCAAATGTGCCTAAGCCAGCAATGAGGCCCAGGACCGTGGTCCTCACAGAGCTATCCCACCAGTCTAGGCTTAAATTTGAAGCTGTTGGGAGAGCTAAGGGTCTGAGCCTTGGTCATCATGGCTTTAGAAATGAGTAAAGCCCAGATGGGTTAGACTGGGGTCGGCAGCCCCAGGCTGGAGAATCAGGCAGCTGGCCAAGTATCCAGACTGGGGGGCGGGGGAGTGGTGGTGGTGGTGGTGTCCCCAACATTAGCTGCCTCTGATGTCAAGCCTGCCCGGGCGCCTCTTGTTTAGAAATTAAGCAAGCAGCCGGCCTTTCTGGCAGGGCCATGAAGTGTAGGGCCGGGGCTGGGCAATCCGAGGTGATCTAAGGCGAGGTTAAGCTGTCTTTTCCACGCCTAGTCCTCCTCTCCCTGGTCTCAGCTTTTCTCTCCCCCTCCTTTTCTCTTGTTCCTGTTCTAATCGTCCATAAGTGCAGTTGGAAATGCCTATCCAGTTGTCATCTTTACCATAATTTTCTGTCTCATTACATACGGTTTCAGCCACCCTAATTCTGTCGGAAAACATTAGTGTCATTTGGAGGCAATTTAAAATGGGCGACATGTTTATTAATTTGGCTGGAGTTGCTGGGTAAGGCCCACCAGCCCTAGCTTTCCTTCAGGAAGACGGCAGGAGCAGCCGCCTGCTCCCCTCTCCTTCCTAGCGGGGGTGCAGTGGGGGGGGGGGGAGGGAGGAGACTTAAGCAGGAACAGATCACAGGTTTTAATTATGACTTTCTCCCCGAGGAGAAAATATCTTGAAACCCAGAATAATCAGGAGCTCTTGTTCCCTTGGGATAGCCCTCTCTCAAACGAAATTTGGTTTTTAAAATCATGTTACCCTCTTTGGCCCCAAGCCCCCCCACCCCTTGACCCCACCCCCTGCCCTGCTCTAAGGACCAGTGATAAAAGAGTTATCACCGTAGCCCTTGGAGGGAAAGGGGGTGGTGGTGGTGAGAGTGGCTGGGGTACAGGGCCGGGGAGGGAGGGGGGGGGCGGTTGTCTCTGCTACTCTTTGTTTAGTCCTGGTGACATGGAAGGAAGGGAAGAGGAGCCCGGAGCGGCGGGAGCTGATATTTTGGGCCGGCTGGAGGGTCCCAGAAAGGGAAGATTAAGAAGAGGAGGAGAAAGACCACTACTGGGGGAAAAAAGGAGGGGTCTTCTTGGGCCTCCAGGGAAAGTTTCAGGAAGTGGCCGGACTAGGAGGGCTGAGCGTGGGGGGGGAAAGGTAGCGCCGGGGACCCGGAGAAGGCCCCGCGCGCGGCTGGCTCGTAGGGTTCCAGCGACCCGGGGTGTTTTTTAGGCAAGTGCTTTGGGCTTTGGGTCATCGGAAGAGTGCCGTGTGCATTCCAGGGTGCCCGAAGGCTGCGTGGGGTGAAGAAGAATGGGGGAGGGGAGAGGAGAAAGGGCCCCGGACTGTGCCGGGACGGTGCCCACAGCCGCGCGCGGCGCGCGCGCTCTCTTGCAGGACCAAGTGGAAGCGGCAGACGGCGGTGGGTCTGGAGCTGCTGGCCGAGGCCGGCAACTACTCGGCGCTGCAGCGGATGTTCCCCTCGCCCTATTTCTACCACCCCAGCCTGCTGGGCAGCATGGACAGCGCCGCGGCGGCCGCGGCGGCCGCCGCCGTGTACAGCAGCGTGTACCGGACTCCGCCCGCGCCCCACCCGCAGCTGCAGCGGCCGCTGGTGCCCCGCGTGCTCATCCACGGGCTGGGGCCCGGCGGTCAGCCCGGCCTCAACCCTCTGCCCAACCCCATCCCGGGCACCCCACACCCCCGGTGAAGAAGCAGGGGGTGAACGGCCCCCCACAACACCACATCACCCCATCCCGATCTCTCTCTCTCTTTCTTCCCTCCTCCCCCCTCCCCGCGCGTGCACCGAGTCACCAAGGCCTCGGAGTTCAGAGAGGAGAAAAACGCTCACCCCACCACCCGTGAGCCCCGGAAGGTCACCCCCAAAAGAGGAGCCAGCGCCCTCTCTTCTCCATCCCCCTCCCCCCCTCCCCAGGCAGGGCTGGAAAGCTCCCCCACAGCCGTTGTGACTCAAAAGTACAACCAGTAAGTGACACACACACACACACACACACACACACACACACAATCAAAAACCCGCAGATTCTTTAACAGAACAAAACCGACTTTAGGGACAAGCAGGAGGGGGGAGGGGGGAGGGCTAAGGGGGGGGAAGAAGGGCCAGAGAGGAACCCCAGGGGCAGAGCGCATGGTGGTGGACTTCACAGCACCCTCCGGCATAGGGTGTTGTGGACTTCGGTCTGCCCCGAGAAAAAAATAGGGTGATTTGAGGACTTTGCACTGATTTCTCATGAGCTTTTTTTTTTTTTTTTTTTTTAAATTTTGGAAAAGTAGCATGCTCCATAATATGAAAAAAAAGTACATTTGCAAAGACTGAGTGATAAGTGATATATCATATTTATTATATGTTGTCCAAAAGAAGAGTCACTTATATACGTTAGTAAAAACATGATTTTTTTCTTTTCATGTCTTTTTTTTTCCTTTTGGATTCAGTACAAAATAAATGCTTAGACGAAAAAAATATAGATTTTTTTGTGATTGAAAAGGACAAAAGAAAATAAAGTTTATCTTTTTTTAACAAGCGATGAAATCCCAGGGAGCTAATTTTACTAAAAAGCAGAATGTGTAGTCATGAAAGGTGCGACTGGTTTAAGGAAAGGAAAAAAAAAAAGCCCTTCTAGAATATTAGAGATTTGTCAAATCTGTGAAGACGCTGGGCTGGCTGGTGTAAAAACAGGTCTATTTATCACGCGGGCCTCTTTCAGGCTGATAATCTTTCTTTTTAGGCGGATGTTTTCAGAATGGCCCGGGAGGCCTAGGAGAACTTCGGTGCTGGCCGACTCTGGGCGATGGCTAGCGGGCAGCAGCGGCTTCTCCCTCACTGTCTCCGCCTGCCTAGAGGCTCCAGCTTAGCTCTGGGGCGTGGATCTCAGTCTACACCCCCCTTCCCCTTCTCCTAGGGGTCTTCTCAAGATGGCGGGGGTCCCCAGTGCTCCTGGGGCCTGGCAGCTGTTGGGCAGCCTGCGGCTTGGGCGCCCGCAGGGCCAGACAGACTGGGAGCGGGGACGGCGGCCTGGGCGAGCAATTAGGACGCCCCTGGGGACACACAGAGGCCTGCTCACCAAGCCTTGTCTCAGCTTTGATCCTGGCCTTCTCAGTCCCCAGGCCCACGCCGCTGAGCCGCGCATCCTAACGACTTCCGTGCGCTAGGATGTCTGGAGTGGGAATGGAAAGGCAAACTCTGGTACCCGGAGTGCCAGGGTTTTTATTTGGCCCGTGGAAAGACACGCCCTCCAAAGAGAGACCATCCCCAGAGAGTGGACCCTTTGCCTGTTCCCTCCCCCCCCCATCTCTCTAAATGCTCAAAGTTACCCCTACCAGGGCTTGGCTTCCCTGTCAAGGTGACTGGGACCAGAAAGAAAACCAAGTCACCTTACAATTACAGAGCTGCTATTCTCTTCAGCACCTAGGTCATTATCCTAGGAGATTCTCCAAAGTCTCGCCCCTCTCTGACCATCCTCACTCTTGTCCTCGGTTCAGCCGAAACACATCCAGACCTCTCCTCCCACTTTCCCACAGGCTTGAACCTGAGTGGAGTTAAACACGGTCAGGTGTGAGTGTTTGTGGGAATGTAAGCTCAGGAGTGGGAAGGAAGCTAGAAAGAAAAGAGGTAGGAATCCAGGAGCAAATCGCCTCAGGCGCCTTGGTCAGATCCTAGCTAATTAGGGAGTGGTTTGCAGATTTCTCTCCAGCTCATCAATTTGCTTAAAAAAATAGTCTTCATCTTCTTTGATTCTAACAAAAGGGTCTGCACTGGCCCTGATCTTTTGTTTTGTTTTGTTTTTGGCCTGATGAGTTGGGACAAATTCAGACAGCTGGGCTGGACTAGAAACCACCGGGTACCATTGAATCTGGTTGGGGAATGCCCAAAACCTGGGCATTCTGCAGATTCTCCTGGTTTCATCTTCACTAAAGTTGGGTTTTTAAAGAAATCAAGTTCCAACAGTTTCCAATGATTTTCCTAAAAAGGCACTTTGCAGAACTTGAATTTGCTATAGTTATCACCTCTATCTACCCTGGGTGGAGTGAGCCTGATCAGCTCTGGGCAAAAGAGGGAATGTGGGAAAGTATATAGAGTTCACACACACTAATGAATCCACCCAGAATACTACCTTTGGTCCAGGTAAAGAAAATTCTTGAGCAAACTTACAAATCCAATCAAGGCAACAGCACCTATTTGCTGCCAGGGCCTGGGAAATTACCCTGTATGTGTGTGTGTGTGTGTGGGGGGGGGGGGGGGGGGGAGGTCACTTTGCTTCATTCTCAAAGCTGAACTTGCACTCTTTTGGTGGTAGATGGAAGGAGATGTATCAGATCTACAGACAACTAAGTCTCCACAGCTCATAGTAATTATTCAGACTTTTCCTAGTTCCTTTTCTTTGCAGTCATGTTTTCTTACATCCCTCCCCCCCCTCCCCTGAAATCATAGCAATCTCTTTTGTCTAAATTGGTTTGGGTTTTGGTTAGTTGTAGTTGCTTTACACATTAGCAAATTGAATACTGGGATTTGTCCCCAGGGAGGGTTGTCCCAGAAAGAAAGCTGGGTACTGGGTCCCCCATACCCACTTCAGCATTGCTGTGTACTTGACCAGATGCTCTAGTATTTAAGAGTCCCAAACTACTGCTTAAAAGTGAAAAGCAAACTGGTTCATTTCCTTGCAAGGGGTCCTTTTGAATACCTGTGCCTAAATATTTTTATGAATTTTTTTGGGGGGGTGCTGGGGTGTAATAGGCAAGGTAGATAACCCTGGGTCTTCTGAGAAGCCAGGATCAAGCTATCATGCCTTTTCTCATGGGGATTCTGGGGTTAGTCACAGCCCCAATATGACTGTCACCAGAGCTCTACTCCCTTTCTTGCTTTCAGCACTTTATGGCTGAACTCAATTTGGATTGCTCCTTTGGTTAAGTAGATGTCTGGCAAGACAGAGCGGGTTCTGTGACACTCTTGGCTTTCTCCAAGAATGTGGAAAAAACGAACTTGTTTCAGAGAAATGCTTTAAAACCCACAAAGGCCCCTACCATTGCTCCCCCCCTCCCCAAGATCATCAGTTCAGGAACCCCAGCGAACCTAGCACACATCTGTAGTTGTGTGTTAAGGAAGAAGTTAAACTGTTCAGCTAGGCACCAGCCTTTGTAATCCCGCCAGTGATTTTTCAATGAATTGTAAAGTAACATTGCTATTTGGCTTGGAGCCTCAAGCAAATCTACCTACAACTCCTCTATCCGTTTATAGTCACTCCACCCTCGAAAATGAAAGCCAGCACCCAGGGAAACAACACGGCCAACCTCCGCTGTTGCAAGGTAGACCCACTTACCTTCAAACCTGGTCTTCCTTCTCTCTGGCCAGCTGCCTAAGCGGCCCTTGCCCAGAGTGCCAAACCCACCGCCCCTCTAGAAACAGGCAGCTCGTGAGTGGTTTGTTTTTGTTATATCTTTATCTTTCTAAAAATATTTGGAAAAGCTCTCCCTAGGGGGTGGGAAAACTTGAGTTCTTGTTAAAGCACGTGGTTACAAAATATGTTGGAAGGGACCTGCTTGGGTTTTGTTGTTGTTGTTTAAAGCTAGGCAGGGATGGAAATCAACGTACTTGGAAAGAAACTGATTTTTTTTTTTTTTTTTTTTTAAGATACCACCAGTGGGCCTTTATCAGGGGCAGGGTCAAACTGGTGTGGGAAAGCTGGTCAGCCTGGTGCCCTGGCTGTGTGGTCTAGAGCGGTGGGGTGGATCTCAGGTTTTTTCCTGGTCTCGGGATGGGGTCGGCGTCACTGGCCCTCATGTGGGACCTACAGGCCTTGGGGCGATGAGATTCTGGGTGGATTTGTCGCTCTGGATGTGACGGGGCGGGGCGGGCCAGCGGCTGCAAGGCGTGCCCGCACTTTCTTTCCTTTGGATTCTTCTCCGTCCCTCCCCGGGGTGGCCCAGCACCACAGACAGCTCCCGGGCCTGGCGGTGGAGTCCTGGGGTGACAGGTTCGGGGTTAGGGTGCACTGGGGAGGGTGTGTGTATGTGTGTGGGGGGGGGAAAGGGTGATCCCCGAGAACCCCCTGGGGGCGTTTCCTCATCAGCCTGAAGTCCAAACCGGGCTCACCTTCCAAAGAACAAATCGAAAGATAAAGTAATTCAAAACAAACGAAGAGCACCCCACACCTCCAAGATCTTGGGGGGTAACCAGTGCTCAGAGTGCCAGTGCCAGAGCCGCGCCCCCTTTCCCCCACATTTAAATAAGTTCTCAGTGGAGCTAGGCCTCGGGTCTCCGCACCGAAGCTGCCAAGTTCCCGGAAATGGCACCGACGTCCCGGGCTCGGCCGCTCCCTGCACGCTCCACGCCGCGTGGAAGCCGGGGCGCAGCTCCGGGGCGCGGCCGCGGTGCACATCGCGCCGGGGCGGTGCGGGGGGTGGGGGCGAGGCCGGATCGGCACCGCGGGCCCTTGCGGGTGAGGGGTCCGGCATACTCCACCCCCCCCCCCCCCAGCGCCCTACACCATCTGTGGGGCGCCCCCCGCGGGAGGCTCTGCTGCAAGAAAAGGACCCGGCTCGAGGTGCACTCCATTTCCCACGCCAGGACCTTGTCACTTTGGAGCCGATGGCATCTGGGGTCCCGCACCCTGTACCCCGGGACCCTTCCCTCCCACCCCCGAGCTCGGACTTGGCTCTGTAGTGCAGGAGCGCGCGCCCTCCCCCACAGGTTGT